CCGTATATATTTAAGAATTGAGAAAACTAAGAGGTCCTATTTGCAAAAGAAAGTTTACATCTACGAAAACATAATTGGCAGTGCTATAGGAAGCTTAAGACAATCCTTTCTACGAGCAAAATAAAGACCATGAAGGGCCTGGGAATCACCTGTCTTGGCATCTAGATAAGCTTCTTCGCCCAATGTTTGTCCGGTTTCATGGTCAATAAGATGGAGCTGCAGGGAGGTCCTCCCGAGTGCTTGACATGCTGATTCACTTTGAAGCAAGGCCCGAGCACGTAGGACTGTTGCCGCCAGCATGGTGCAGTCAGCTTTTCGCTTATTCGCTTTCGAAACATCCAAGTCTATTTCGCTTTTGTTATTGGTGGACGTAACGGGCGTAGTAGCAGTGGAGACAGAATTTGGTTCTGGGTCACTTGAGGGTGAAACGATAGCTGATAAAGATAAATTGGCATTTTTGGAGGCTAATGAATGATCGGCTCCATTAACTGCCAAAGGCGTACAATGAGTAATTCGTTGGACAAAATCTACCAGTCCGGACATGCCACCCACATCGTTCGGTTTTCGAATACTATGATCGGGGGCCATAGTTGAGCCATTTTGTGAAGCTCTCTCGGCTGTAGCGGAGCCTCCTCCATGGCCATTAATGCTGGCCAGGCCTGTGGTGCCATTGGCACATTTTGAAGCAAAGGTGGAAGAGTGGGAGTCGCTAGAGAAGGACCGAGAGCCTGATCGCGTGGAATTGGGTTGTAGAAAAAAGGGCGATAGTGCCGCGATCTGCTGACCAATCGCCCCTGGATCAAGCCGACTCAATAGGCTCGCAACTGGAGATGGCGGTGAGCGGACCAGAGCGACGCTAACACTAAATACGGTAAACATATTGTACTGAGATTAGCTTTGGATCAATCAGCACTAGCCCAATTTGTGATATTTAAAAGCGCACTTTTGAAGTAACCACAATTAGGGATTATATGAAATCATAAGAGTTAACATTGTGATATTTATAATAGCCATGAATTAGATAGCCTGCTTGTCTAAATATGGGCTGCTAGCTTTCGCAAAATTAATTATCTTTAGAAATTCCCCTTTTTTAAGTCTCAAGCTTCAAATAAGCTTATTTTAAATCAAGGCAGATAAGTGACTTTATGAAGAGTACGCTGATTGTAAAGATAAAAAGTACGCCCATTGATAAATACATCTTTGGGGACGTATTAAGTAGAAAAAAATAAATTAGAAT